CAAACATTTTCGAATTAGAAATATGAATCATTTTGCTGGGAGAAAATGTTCTAATTATAATTTGTCTTGTAGCTCCCATCGGGATGGGTGAATCTGACAGACACCTAGATGCATTCCAGTCAGAAAAAGGCCCTTATATGAGGTAACCAAACCGATTTAATTTAGTCATAGCTGGAAGCTAATCGCCATGCTTATACAGGACCATTTCTTTCGTCGTCACGCATTTCTCTCGGTGAACGGACTACAAATCTGGAGTGACAGAGTCAAAGTAATCATACATGGGAGTATTCGCCATTAAGCAGTGGTAGTGGTTAAGTAGCATTGTCATCACGGGCAGCATCCTTCCCGCAGCCAGAGTAAGAATCCGCAGCAGTAGCGTCGAAATACACTGCTCGGGTAGAAACACCATGAAGCTCAAGTAGTGGTAAAGAAACGGTGGACGGAAAACGGCGAAAGTAAACAGTAAGTTCACTATGCTTTCAAGTACTGTGGTCGTGAGAACACGAAGGTTCGAAGCAGTAGCATCAACACAATGCGAGGTACCTGCTAAACTGGTGTAGTGTGTAACCAGTATCCTGATTAACTGGTTCAGAAGTTATTAGTTAGTAAGTTTTTGAGGTTAAGGCCCAGTTAGGTCCAGGGGGATTGCCACCGTTTATTGGAACCCTAACCGATGAGTTTAGTTTCCGTCGGCGGGCACTCTCTAAAACTCATCGAGCCGGTACCTCATACACGGAACCCTTGGAGTCTTCATTCCTTGAAGGACTACACCCATCAAACCATCCGCGACCCTATGTAGGATGAGCCAAAGAAGCTAAGTCACACACAATAACCGTGAGCCCAGTACCCACGATTCAGACTACGAAATATCCATCATCTTAGGTATAAGTTTGATCATTTATTCCCTCCTCCTCGTATGTACTAGCGAAGCTCTTACCCTCATTTATGTATTTACCTGAATAAACGTAACCCTAGCAGCACACTTGTCGCAAACGGCAACTCCTATGTGATTTATTCCGGTTACAATCAAGTTGCCTCAACCTTTAGAGACGAAAGTGTATTGCTTGGGAAATTATGCTTAGTGGGACTAATACACATTACAACCTGATTGTAAAACTCAATTTTGTGACTTGTTTTGGACACGGTATCTCTGTTCGAAACATAATTAACAGTCAGAGTACTAAGGATGCAAAGCGCGTGACGATGCTGTGAACAAGCATGGTTCTCAATAACAAGACAGTCATGCAGCGTTGCAGCATCGTCATGCATTTTGCTCCCTTGGTCTTCTGACTGATTAAATAAATAGTACCGTAAGACGGGGTGACATTGAAACTAGGAAGTCACATTGGGCCAAAATTGAAAAATGTTTATTGATGACGGATTTCACGCCAACTCGTCTTCGGAGTTGGCAGCACCCTCTCAGAACCTTATGAAACTTTGTGGGTGTGGAGACTTAGCAATTTTAAGCAACTTTGAGTACTTATTTTTTTCAAAATTTATCTCGCCTAACATTTGATAAGGGTCAAAGTTTTTTGTCGATTTTTTTTCAAATCGATATAGCTTAAAAATGACAAGCCCTACAAAATAGTGATGTATGGCGAACTTTTAGCAAATAATCTGAAATTTTATAAAAAAATTTAAATAAATTAAAAAATTGGTTTCTACACTCTAAAAAAATATATTTAAAAATTAAAAGTCATTTTCCCAAAAATGCTACCCCTCAGATTTGCTTGATATTTTTTCTCATGAAAGGCAATATAATTACCTAACTTTTCTTCATACATCGCAAAGTGGGCGCTTTTAAGGAAAAAAAGTTGTTCGAACAACAACTTTTTCATGTTAATTTTTTTTTAGCGTGTTTCACTCAAAGTCGAATTGTAATACGCGCACAACCTTATTAAAATCCGTTGAAACTTAATGAGCATAAAGATTTTGACCTTTTGATAATCTGGGCGTGCTTAAAACAAAAATCTAGCCTAACATTTGAAAGGGCCTAATACAGAGGATTTTCCTGCATTTCGAATGGTGTTTTAATAAATGAACACTCTAGTGTTTTTGTTTAGTGCATAATTTATTTTCCTATAATTCTCCATACATAATTTGAGTTTTTCATTGATTATTAGTCTATCGGAAACAGAGTGAAATTTTTCGGAGTTTCCTTTGAATGTGAAAATCGCTTAGTAGAAATTATGTTTTGAGAAATAGGTACAAAACAATGAAATTTTTGTGTACCAGGTATAGTTTTTACATGACTGAACAGCTCCTTGAGTTCATCGGACATCTTTGTGTATTGATCATTTGATATGAAGCAGAAGTTCAATTTTGTTATGCTTGTATCTGTTTGTTTAACTGCCCAGTCATACAGTTCTTGTGGAGTTGTGATTGTGTTTCCATAATCTCGAGCAAGACTTGCTCTCTTTGCCATTCGTTTGAGAGTTCCTCCAATTGCGTCACATGGGCCTTTCCCATGAGACGTTGCGAAGAAGTGCCATTCTGCTTCCAATCCATACTTGGACTTGAAGTTGCACAAACTGGCAAAATTCTTTTTATTTTTGTAATGAGCCGCTGCTAAGCTAAGCTAAGCTAAGCCAAAAATTTATGACTTAAGGCACATCGTACGCAATATTTTGGATAGGAAACCGATGTTCCCTTCCAAAATAATGAATACGAAGAGCATTAAGTCATAACTTTTTGGATTAGCTGCATTATCAAAGTTACCTCCATTATCAAAGACATCCCCGTTTACGGTACATCGAAGCCGCATCTGAATTTTCCCCATGTTTGTGGAGCACGAGCTGCATAAACCGCATATCGTACAGTCGTGAAAATTTGATAGATTGTTCACCGAGGTTGGCCTACCAATCGATCAAATTTGTACGATAAGCGGTTCATCCAGCTCGTGCTCTAAAAAAATGTTGAAAATGAAGTTGTATCTTCGATGTACAATCCTTAAACCACACAGTTGAAACAGTTAAAGTTATTATTATTTACCTAGTGTATCATCAAATTCCTGATGTTCTGATTGCTGATGACTTGTTGATGGTTGCGGCTCTTCAAACTTCCGAGCATGGCTTGATTCTTTTCCATCCGATCGCCTCTTTTTCGGGAGAGGTGTCCTATTGTGCACTAAAATTCCACGACACGATTCACAAATACGCATTGTTACATCCAATTGATGATCAAAGCCCCATGAATGTATTTTCTCTATGAGACTTGATGATAAATTACGTAAATTATTGCGGCTGCAATTGGGATTGTTTATGTTGGCACTACATTGCACCCTTTTAATAATCAATTCAGCAGATTTTTCCATTGTTGTATATATAAACACTTTTTCGTTTCAACAACTATGCAGCACTACACTTTCAACAACTATGCACTACAGCAACTATGAGCATTGTTGTGATATCACCAAACTTAAATATTAGATTATGTCGGTAGAAACAGACTGCGGTGCTTTAAGTTTATACCTTATATCTCTCATGTGACTACCTGCGTTGTTATATAACTGCTATATAGCAGGTAACTTAACGATTATTTTAGGCATGCCTTAAATAATCGTTAAGTTACCTGCGCTATTATATGTATTCACTTGAGAGATGAGGTATAAACATATATATGCATATTGCTTACTAATGGACACACCTAATACATAAAAATAAATGAATGATTATTTTTCTAATTAAATTAATCACAAATACATGAATTGAAATCTTTTCATGAATAAAACATACTAAGTGATTTTTACTTAGTTTACCTGTTGATTTGGAACACTTTGAGGGTGGTTTTATAGAAGTTGGATAGAGTGTATGCATATATTATAATACAATCCATCACAGGAAAGTGCAAACCATGCTGAGATGGCTGTTCCTCATTAGAACGTTTTGTTCTGAACTCTTATTGGACGATTTGCAGGTAACTTCTCTGTACCCTTTTCAAATGTTAGGCTAGATTTCGCCCAGATTATCGAAAAGTATACCCATAAAGTTTAATCGAATTTTAATAAGGTTGTGCGCGTATTACTATTCGACTTTGAGTGAAACACGCTAAAAAAAAATTAACATGAAAAAGTTGTTGTTCGAACAACTTTTTTTCCTTAAAAGCGCCCACTTTGCGATGTATGAAGAAAAGTTAGGTAATTATATTGCCTTTCATGAGAAAAAATATCAAGCAAATCTGAGGGGTAGCATTTTTGGGAAAATGACTTTTAATTTTTAAATATATTTTTTTAGAGTGTAGAAACCGATTTTTTATTTTATTTAAATTTTTTTATAAAATTTCAGATTATTTGCTAAAAGTTCGCCATACATCACTTTTTTGTAGGGCTTGTCATTTTTAAGCTATATCGATTTGAAAAAAAAATCGACAAAAACTTTGACCCTTATCAAATGTTAGGCGAGATAAATTTTGAAAAAAATAAGTACGCAAAGTTGCTTAAAATTGCTAAGTCTCCACACCCACAAAGTTCCATAAGGTTCTGAGAGGGTGCTGCCAACCACTGGATGAGTTGGCGTGAAATCCGTCTGATGCAAATATCTTCAATATACAGAAAATGATGTCTAGTAGGGCAGATGTTCCAGTATTGGCCATGTTCCAGTATTAGCCATAGCTATGATAAATCATAATTTTTTAAGAGATAGGCAGTTTTGTTTAAATTATTTTGGAATACATTGAATTTATCATTTTAGGTTGCATAATTGAACGAAAAAAACATCTGCCATCGCAGTAAGTTGCAATAAACATGAAATGTTTAATCGAGCACTGTTAATCTTGTAATGCATTCTTATTTTATTTGTTCCGCTAACACACTTTGGATTTAGAGGAAATTGTAGAAATAATGCTAAAAAAAGCTGTTTCACGAGTATCAATACATAATTCATGAACAGAAGATCAAATTGATCAAGAGTTTTATTAATTTAAATAAGCAAATATTGTTTTGCGTTTTAAAAACAATGGACAAAATACCACCATGCGCCTGTTTTAGCCACCCTCTCACTCACCATGCAGTTTGACAGTTCCTAGTTTTCGCCACCCGTTGTTATTGTAGTGAATCTATTTAGTTATTGCCGTGAATCGTGAATAAATTTGTTCAAAAGGATGAAGTATGCATAAAAGTTTATTTATTGCATGTGCTTTTGTTAATTTCTTATATATTTATTGTAGGAAAAAGAACAGAACAACGTCGTTGCGGACTCCCGGCCAGCATATTTACAGCCCAGAAGCAATCGAAAAGTGTCTCGATGAAATTGCTCAAGGTTCGTCCATTAAAGCTGCCAGCAACAAATATGGGATTCCTCGGTCCACTCTACGATACCGATTGAGCAGCAAATGGCAAAAAACAGTCAAAAAAGGTCCATCTAGTGTTCTCTCCAAGGAAGAAGAGGATAAAATTGTCTCCTGGATCATTGGGATGCAACAGCGAGGATACCCCGTTCAGCGTCGTACTCTACTTTTCAAAGTAAAAGAGTTCCTGTCTGCAAGTCCCCGCAAAACTCCTTTCAGAAATGATTGTCCTGGTAAGTGTGCTTAGTAAAGTAAGTAATTTATTTAGTGCTTACTTAGCAACTCTGTTTCAAGGTCGAAAATGGTTCAACTCGTTTATGCTGCGAAATCCTAGATTGTCTATTCGAACACCTGAAGAAGTTTCATCGGCTAGTGCTCGTGTAACCGAGTATGACATCCGAAATTGGTTTACGGAAGTTCACAAGTGGCTGGTCCACCATGGAATGGATGATGTGCTTATCGACCCATCCCGTGTATTTAATGGAGACGAAACCTCCTTCTACCTCCATCCAAAAACTAAAGAAGTCATCGCACAAAGAGGGAGCCGAAACGTATACGAAGTAGAACAGGCCTGTGGCAAACAGAATGTTACAGTGATGTTTTCGTTCAGCGCAACCGGAAGTGTCGTGAATCCACTGATCATTCTTCCAGGACAGCGAATCAGAAAGGAAATCGCACAAGGATTTCCACCAGAATGGGGAATTGGGCAGAGTGAGCGTGGGTGGATGACGACTCACAACTTTAGTGAGTACGTTAAAAAAATCTTTCATCCTTTCCTTCTTCGAGAAGGTATCAAACTGCCAGTAATATTCTTTGTGGATGGTCATTCTTCCCACGTAGGAGTAGAAGTAGCAGATTTATGTCAGCAGCTAGGAATAATTCTGATTGCCTTATACCCTAATACGACCCGCATTACACAACCAGCGGACGTGTCTATTTTCAAGCCGCTCAAAGACCAGTGGAAGCAAGAAGTGGATGATTGGCGCACAGCACATCCAGGGTATAATTTCACCTTGCGATACTTTGGAGGTGTACTAGAGAAAGCAGTTGCAAGAGGAATTAAAACCGACAGTATTATTAACGGTTTTCGTGTATGCGGTTTATTTCCGTTTGATGCTAACAACGTCGACTATACCAAATGCATAGCGAAACCGACGACCAACTGTGTGCCTGCTGCTGTGGGTCTCAGTATGGATACTTTTTCACCCGGAATCGATAGTACCCCAGCTAAAGTTTCAGGTAAAACTCAAGAATCCACACAGTCGGTAACAGGATGTGCTGAAGATCCAGTCAGAGAAATTTCTTCAACAGTAGGCCCCCGATTGTCTATCGATAGTAATGATTCATTGGCCAATGTGAAAGCTCCATTTACAGTTTTTTCTGATTATGTGCCAATCCATAAAGACAAAATTAAAAAAGCTGTCGAAATGATAGGAATTCCTATGCTAACGAAGATACAAAAACGCTCAGGTGTTGATTTGTCTCACGAGGAGCGGGTTATTCAATATTTTTACAAAGATTTTATTCAACCGTTTACGACCTTTGACAATAACTCATTCAATCTGGTGGACAATCGGAATGAACAACATACAATGATTGAAGTTGGGGAGAATGACAAAGTCATTGGCGAGTTATTGATCGATAATGAAGGAAATGTTACAATCTTTTCTGCTAAAGAAACTACACAACAGGAAGTAATTAATTTATTGAACGAGCCGAGTGCAAGGGATCATCTAACGAATCCAGAAGCAAAATCAGCCATCAAATCCAATTCAACAAGCAATAACTCTGTCACAACGATATCTGTATGCTGTGGTAAGTCAATTCTAGTAGGTATCAGAGTGTTGAACTATTTTTAATTATTATTATAAATATTTCAGAAAATAATTCACCTATTGACCAATCTATGTCTCTCGAGAAAATTCTTCATGATGTTACAAATACTACACCAAAGACAAGAAAGACTAGTATTTCTGAGATTCTTAGTTTTCCCCCAACACCACGACGTAGCAGTAAACATCGAAACTGTACCAAGAAATACTTTCCTGTTCTGACGGCTGGTGAACGGATTGAAGAAATTCGAAAAGTACAGAAGGAAAAACAAGATAATGAAGTAAAAAAGAAAATCAGAGCAGCTGAACGAGCAGAATCTAAAAGAAAAACTGAAGAAGCTAAAAAGGAACGGGCTGAGAAACGGAAACAGCAGAAGTCGAATGAAAAATCAGCGAAACAGGATAAAGAAAATCATAATTTGAAGAGGGCTCGAAACGTTAATACTAAAAAGCCAGGAGTAAAGCCGAAGAAAATTAAAACAGAAAAGTGAAGCTGCAGGAAAACTCTATTTGGAATTGGTAAGCTAAATAGAATAAATCGGGATGTTTTTTTACATGAATAAAGAATAAAAACAATGATGCATCATTTAAACCAAGTTCTTATGTCTGATATTTAACCTCATAATTTCTGAAAAATAAATGACACTAGGCAGTTTTATTTTCTTGCTTACGAAAAATCATGCTCAAACTCATACTCATATAATTTTGGGGTCTTCCGTTTATTCGATAACGCACAGCTAAAAGAAAACCATGTTTAAGGCGTCAGTCGGTCTAGAACATTTTCTCGACTTCCCTGGGCATAGAGTATTTTTGTGCTTGACCTACGATATCTAATGAAAACTATAAACATACTCTGTCACATTTGGGGTGTAATTCCGTGAAAAAGAAAAAAAAATTACTTATATCAAAGAGATGGCTAACTAAGGAACAAGGGGTGGCGAAAACAAGGAAAGGGATGGCCAAACCAGGAACAAAAAAGCTATTACGATTTATGGGAATGTGTACACAATTGTACACATTTAATCATTTTTTATTAATGAACTTGGTAGAAATGAAACCCAAGTTCATTAATAATTAGTGAAAGACGTACTGAAATTTGTTTGTTCTTTATAAAAATGAATATAAAACCTATTAGGTACATAGGGTGGCCAAAACTGGTACATCTACCCTATATGTTTCTTGAGCTTCTGAGGTAATGTCTAGAGAACATTAACTAGTTGTTTTATTTAATTTGTGCTGTAAAGTAAAATGTCATAAATAGTAGTAGATTTTTTTAAATGTTTGCACACTCTTTTATGAAAATAGACGAAGGCTACAAGCGATCTTTAACCATACATACGAAGTACGTTGTGATCATAACAAGTGTACTCCTAATAGCTACGATAAATATATATATTTTAAGATATGTTAAGATATTTTAATTAAATTTATGTGTTGGCCCAATGTCAGCCGCCATAAGGTTTTACATTGGTCTATTTTTTAATTAATTTTAGTAAAATGAGCTTTCAATTTCAATCAACCATTTTCATGACAGTCGTAAATATATCATTGATGAATATATTCACATGCTTAACATTGTTTTCCTTGCTAAAATGTGAACGTTGTTAGGTAGGGAACGATTTTTTTTAATTTTTTGAGCCCAATGTCACCTCCACGGTATCACTGAAACACTTACCAAACAAAATCTTAGACTATCCCATTTAGTTTAAGGCTAGTGTCAAAATGTTCCCCCGAAATTACATTTGAACACTACCCTGAAATGAAGGGGGATAACTTAAGGCTTCGTTGGATGTGTGGCTCAGAGATACTGATTTTTTTTTATTATCCTGAAATATTTTATTTGATGATGAAAATGTGTGTCAACCTGTTTGCCAATCGTTTTAAATACATGCGATGTTTGTGTGACTTACACACCTACACACTTGCTGACGACTACGCCGGAGCTGTCCTCATACGAAGCAATTAATTTTACTGATGTTACAATGAACAGCTAATATATAAAAAATCACCATTTTACCACATTCCATATAATTGCAGAGAAAAAGCAAGGCCTACTCGTTCAAATTTACACAGAAATCAGTTTTACGAATGTTCCAGATCTTATGACGGACCTTCTGGTGACTACTCAGAGCCATTGAACAGCTAGTGTATCTATAATTATCATTTTACTTCATTTCACATAGTTGCAGAGCAAAATCAAGGCCTGCTTTGATCAAATTTACGCAGCGATAAATTTTACGGATTTTCCGTATTTTCTGGACCACCTGGTGATAACTCGAAGCCAATGACCAGCGAATATATAAAATATCACTATTTTACTACATTCCATTTAGTTGCAGGGAACAAGCAAGGCCTGCTTTGATAAAATTTACACATAAATCAATTTTACGGATGTTACGGATCTTCTCACGAACCATCTGGTGACTACTCAGAGCCATTGAACAGCTAATGTATCTAAAATCACCATTTTACTACACTCCACATAGTTGCAGAGTAAAATCAAGGCCTACTTTGATCAAATTTACACAGCAATAAATTTATCAGATTTTCCGGATCTTCCAGCGGGTTATGTCGTGACCACTCGGAGCAATTGAACCGCTAATATAACAAAAATCACCATTTTACGACATTTCACGTAGTTGCAGAGCAAAATCAAGGCCTACTTTAATCAAATTTACGCAGCAATACATTTTACGGATGTTCCGGATCTTTCGGCGAGCCACTTGGAGCCAGTGAACAGCTAATATATAAAAAAAAAATCATAATTTTACTACATTATATACAGTTGCAATGAAAAATCAAGGCATACTTTGATGAAATTTACTTAGCAACCAATTTTACGGATGTTCCAGATCTTTCGGTGGGTCATCTGGTGACCATTTGGAGCCAATGACTAGCTAATATTTCAGAAATCACCATTTTACTGTATTCCATATAATTGCGGAGGAAAATCAAGGCCTACTTTGATCAAATTTACACAGCAATCAATTTTACGGATGTTCCGTATCTACCAGCGGACCATCTGGTGATAACTCGGAGCCATTGAACAGCTAACATATGAAAAATCACCATTTTACAACATTTCTCATTGTTGCAGAGAAAAATCAAGGCCTACTTTGATCGAATTTATGTAGCACTAAATTTTACGGATGTTTCGGATCTTCCGGCGGATCATCTGGTGACCACTTAGAGCCATTGAAACGCTTATGTATCCAAAATCATTAATTTACTACATTTCATATAGTTGCAGAGAATAATCAAGGCCTACTTTGATCAAAAATACATAATAATCCAGATTAAGGTTGATCCAGGTCATCGGAAGGCCTTCCGGTGGACGCTCAGTATTTAGAACCAGGTTATGGGTTGATTTTGTTAAAATATTAATCAGCACTACCCATAGATGCCTGTTGCTGTGGATTTTCAGCACCACCTTGATGTAGACGACTGGTACCTTTTCTCCCCCCGATGGCCTCTCGGAAACCCGGAATAAAACCGGAACCACTTGGCCAATCTGTTCCAATTTTTAGTAGACCAAAATTTCGAACATTTTTCTACTCACTGTGAAAATTTCAACCAATTTCATGGTTAAACAAAAAAGTTATACCTATGCAAACATTGCTATTCGTATACCTGTTCGTAAAAATAAAAACTGCACAAGCGCGTTAGGCCCTCCCCAGAAGTGAAGCAGGTGGTGTTCTTTTGAAACGCTAATAACTTTTCGGAGGTAACTTGGATTCACATCCGGTCTTGAGCCCAATACTTCAAAGGTGCTACATTTTGTACACGAAGAAAATCCACCTTGAGCCGCGAATGTGAAAGTGGCTCGCTCCCCCATACATTTTGTCGATTTTCCCCATACAAACTTCAAGCCGTTTGAGCGAGGGGTTCCCGTGAACCAAATGACTTCAAATTTTGGCAGGGTGTTTCTGACCCCCAAAACTACCATTCCAGAGGGTAGCGTTTGAAATCCCAGATTTGACCTATTTTGAAACAGTCTAATAGACAATTTTCTATTTATATCGTATTTTTTAAAACATCGACTTCTTATAATTAATGAAAAAAAAATAAAACTTGATTAGTGCGAAATCATATAATATGTCACTGCTTTTGTCCCACCATGCCGAATACAAAACGAAATCATCACACTGATAAGCAATTTTCCCCTTTTCCTGGAAACTGGTAACTCATTGGGAAAACACCCGAACACTCACCGTCGACTGCACGACGAGTGAACCGTGCTGCTGCAACTCCGACACTATCCTCCGAGGGCTTTTTCGTCCTCCGACGACGGTCAGTCACAGTTGAGCCACAATCCGAACCGGTAACGAAAATTCAACAATCAGCACCACTCTCTCACCACGTAGAACAACCAACCATCAATCTCTTGAATTTGTACCTTCAGTGCTTGGATTGGATAACACAGAGCAGCGAAAAAGGACAACCGTGGGCTCGCACACAAACATACCCGCGCGGTGTCGTCGTCGCTGTCGCGCGCCGCGTGCAACCATAGTCTAATTGAAAAGTGGAAAATGTTGTCGATGGTTTTCCGTTGTCGTAGTGGTCGTTCTCGTCGGTCTAGTCGGCGGGAAGTGGTACATACACCTGGCGGAGGATACAAACGCTAGGGCACCGACCGGTGGCACAGTTACTTCCTTTGTAGTTGAATAGTTCATCGAGTTTTGATTGAGGATTTAAGCTCCTGGAAATTTCTCCAATTTTAGAAAACAAGAAAGCATATTGGAAGTTGTAATTCTGGAATGTTTTGAAAACAATGTGTACGAATCGCAGCGAATGGAAGAAGGCTGGTGTGGTGATTTAGTGAATTCCATTATATAATGCCCTTTGGTACCACCACAGTGCAGTGTTGGCGTCTGTGTGTGCGGGGGATTGTGAGCCCTGACTGTGAGGAAAAGCGACACGGAGAGGTGTGATATGGTAACCGATGAACTCGGTACGTGACTTCGCAGTAACTGGAACGATACGCAAAGCCAAGGATCCGAATAGCAAAAGGAGATGTGAGTGAACCCGAAAGGATCTAACGTGTCGCTTTGAAGTACAGCAAGCTGGTTCGGTCGGTTGAGTGTTGTGACGACCGCTGATGCCAGTAGAAGGAGGAAGTAGCTTTTCAACTGTGGAATAAAAACGTAGATAGGAAAATAGTGTCTGTGTGTGCCTGGAATTTTGAATGTGGAATTAAAAATAGACCAAGTCGCGCTTTGTTCTCACCGGGATACGGAGCGTGGATAATGAGCGTAATGGAAGTTTGCTGATTGGAATTCGAATCAAAAGTGCAGGGCGAAGAATTCCCCGGAATAAAGCTGCGTGACTACGTTCTTTTAAAAAAGAGAGGTAGAAGTGTTTTGTAACTTTATTCGTCGGAGCGTGGGAGCCACATCGGGTGTGAAAAATAATTGCAATCGATAAAACCAACTGAAGGCAAGCGTCGCGTGTGGTCGGCTAGAGTGTGTGCGGTGCGTATGTGTTTCTCGGGACGAATCGAGTGTATTATGATGGTAGAGCAATTACCAACCACAACAGAAGAAAAGGCGTCAACAACCCATCGATCGTGGATTGAATATCATGCTCACAGAGCATCACCAGCCAGAGCAGCCGAAACACGAAGGAGGTGCCGCAACTACAACACTTCGCAAAGCCCTAATCAAGCACGGTCGCAAACTCACGCGGAATCAGTTTTGTTCATCGCAAGATAATTTGGGAGCTTCCGAGTATCGCAAGGATCGACGCGTCCATGGGCTGCAGCTACCATTGCATCCACTTCAGCTAGTCGGTTGGTTTGCGTTGATTCTGTTCGGTTACTCGACCTTTGCCGTGCTGATACCGGCTCTCAAGCCCTCGGTACAGGAACCGCTGTACTATCTGCTAGCTGCACTCTATCTGTTCCATCTGGTATCCCATCTGGCAGCACTGCTGCTCGATCCGGCCGACGTAGAGCTTCGTCGGAAGAGCACTCGAACGGTGGTGCCCGAGTTCGACCGCAGTAAGCATTCGCACGTGATTGAGAACGGACGGTGCCATCTGTGCAACATCAAAACCAGCAGCCAACGAACCAAGCACTGTAGCGTTTGCAATAAGTGCGTCGGTACGTTCGATCACCATTGCAAATGGTTAAATCACTGTGTCGGCGGTCGAAACTATGCGGCATTCCTTATGTGCGTGGTGAGTGCTGTCATCGCGGCGTTGGTCATTCTGGCCGCGGCTGTCGTCGAAATCGTCTTGTACCATGTACAGCCCGATTGGCTTAATTTGGCCTGGTTTGGTTTCGCGAACGATACGGCTACTGCCGGTACCACCATCGCCGACTCTGCTGCGGATCAAACGGATCCGGATCTACAGAACACTAACACTTCACTACCGACACTCTTGGAAAACATCACAAGCTCTGCTCAGGATTTGCTACTGAATCAAACATTCTTCAATGATACGACGACGGAGAATGTCACCGATTCGACGGAATCGACAGCCGAAAAAGCTCTGGAATCCACCGGAATCAGCGTCAACAACACCATATTCCTGGTGTTCATCGGATTCCTGGGAATCCTGGCTGCGATAGCAGCGGGCCTGCTCATACATCTCTGCTTCTTTCATGTCTACATTTCGTTCCTCGGTCTCACCACCTACGAGTACATCCGCAACAATCGTCAAAATGTGATGACCAATCTGCCAACGATCGCTCAGAACGCACGACACCTCGCAAACGGCCCATCAACAACCACTACATCTACCGCAGGCACAACCTCCAAGCTGAGCATATTCACCACCAACTGTACCAAACCGAATCACCTTCCCGAGCTATACGTCTGTTCCTCGATCAACCCCTCGGTCCTGCCGGTGTCGGGCACTTTGAACGACCTGAACCGCCAACGACCTCGTACCTTGCATTGCTGTGATAATTCGAAAGAATGTACCAACAACATCACCTCGGCAGGACTCCGGAACCTGGATGCGGTCTCGTTGGCTACGGCCACTACCAGCACATCGACTGCTTCTCACCAGAAAGCAGCTTTCTACATGTGTTCAATGCTGGAAGAACGGAACGTTGCCACTGTCAAAGGACATTCCCGTGAAAAGTGTGAATCACGGACGTTCCACTGTTGTTCCCAGTTGCGGCAAACCATCAACGGAGATGACTTTGAGACTACCACCACGGCGGAGTCGTACGTCCACTACAGCGAACAGTGCACGTTCTGTAGCTTTAAGGTCAAGCCTCCTCCGGAAAGCACGGTGGTGGACAAGAGCGACCAGATAACTGCTGCCGCCCTTCAGGAGAAGCGATGTTGCGTCAAATCTCTCACTAAGCACCATCGGTGGAAGAGGAAATGGAACTGTTGTTCCAACGTTCCGGACAGTCCGGACGTTCCAGGAGACCCGCTGAGGTCGATATCGGCTGTAGTCCAGCAACAGATCTCTGCGCCAACTTTCCCGGAGATTACCAACGTAGTTGAACATAATCATTTGCATCAGCAGCAGCAACAGCTGAATCTCTACGAACTGACAAATAATGAAAATCGTGCCAATAACAATAGGAATAATAACTGTGTTAGCAACAATAACAGTAGCACTAGTACCGGTAGCAGTAACAGTAGCCGAAATGGATTCCACGACAACAACAGTCTGATGACGTCGTCAGTTGGCGAGCACAATGCCATCAACAACAACTACACCAGCATGAGTTCGACGAGCAACGGTAACAACAATCGCATCCTGAACGATGCCAACGGGAACGATGTAAGTCTGATGCCCAACAGTGTTTCTCCGGTACCGAAGCGTCCTCGAGCGCGCCTCGTTCGCCCATGGCCAGTGGTCCGTCTGCGGCACATGATGCGAATGATCGATCGCTACCGCCGACCACGTTGTAGACCTGGTCTCAATCCGGCATCTACCAACACCAACACTTCCGTCGCATCAGCTTCCTGTGTTAAACAGAACCAGGTACGACCGCTCTCGACCACCGAGTGTTCCACTGTGGTAACCGCAGGAATGTCCGCCTGCGGACCGGGATCGCCTTCCGTCCAGCATCATCATGGCACCATTCGCGCGGAAGTTCCGCCAACGATGCCAGCTCTGCCACCACCGGCACGACGCAAGCTCAAGAATACCACCGATGACCTGCAGCAGCTGGCCGATACGTTAGTCTTCGTCCAGCATCAACAACAACAGCAACAACAACCGACAACGATCCGAATACCGGTCCATCCACCATCGTCGTCATCGTACCGGCGCAACCGACGCAAGAACGTAATACGTAATCGCAGCCCGACGCTGTCGCCAATCCACGAATCCGGCCTGTCGAATCCGACCTCGCCGCAGCCCTGTCGGCACTCGTGCTCCGCTAGCATATCGTCCCTAACGTCGCCCGTCGCTAGCATTTGCTCCGGCGGTGGAAGTGCCGTAGCCGGTGGTCCTACAACCTCTGTAGATAGATCTCCCTAGAAGACTAGTTCGTGTGTACGTGTTTCCCCCTCGTTTCCTGTAACACTTTCCGCGCAACGCCGTATACCGTACTATGCTATCCGGGTATCATCAACTATGCCACTTCTTCGCGACAACTATTTCTCCTTACTCGACTTCTTATATCACAAGTGTTGAAATAATTGAATTGTTATGTACAATATTGTAGCTAAGCAAATTACAAAAAAAAAAATGAAATGTGAGATCAGTATTTGTGAAACAACGAAATTAAAATTTCTAAAACCTAGTGGAAGAAGATTTTTTGGAAAATAAAGTTTTTACTTTTTGGTGGAGATGGACATCTCCCTATTTAGCGGAAGTGAATAAATCCGACGACGAGGAGGACGTAGTAGGAGAAAAACAAACCAATATATCTAAATTAGTGTTAGTTAAACCGAATCGTGATTGTACGGCACACAGAATAAAAGCTGAAGATTTAGAACGAGCAGTTGAAGAAGAAGAAGAAGAAGAAGAAGATAGTGGAGGAGTAGAAATTGGTGCACACACATAGAAGCAAGTGGAAGATTATTATATATTTGTTTTATAATGCAGAGAAGAAATGGTTTTAAAGAAAGGCAAAATATATAGAAATAAAATATTTGTTTCTAGACGGAGTGAAAATTCCAAACAGAAAAAAAACAACGATTGTTGGGAATGTGTTGTAATTTCAAGAGAAATCGACATGCTTATCTCTAATTCTGGATCCGGGGGCAGAGTCGTCGCTTGCACGGTGGCATTTAATGATAAAATTGGTCTAATTTATCTATTTTTATCTGGCGCACTAATCATGGAGGGTGTTCGACGGCACATAATAATGGATGTGCTTTCCCTACCGTCTGCTGTTGTATCGCAAAACGTGGTTGGGGTTGGTTCTTTTTTTAGGATACGGTTTTGTGGAAAGTGGAGCAGCGGTGGTGAGGCGGGATGATAGAGTGTTTTTCCAAACAGACATTTATGTTGATTGCCTTTAAAATGGAGCTTTGCGTGACCATAAGGTACATTCGGAACTTGAGACGCGGTGACTAGTTATGCTTGTTGGTTATATCTCTTCATTCGTTGCTTTTGAAAATGCATACTAATTGTATTGATAGTTCCAGTCAGGGTGCCTTCCATTCATTTTGACTAAAAAAATGTTTTAGGAAATTATGGAATAATACGATATTATGATGGTATTTTGTATGTGTAAGGCACAAGACAAACTTTTAAAGTTTGTGTTTGACACATAAAACCTGCACATTTAGCTTTGACAGAGCCACAATGAGCGATTTTCTGATCGCCTCTTCGCGAAGAGTGAAGAGTGAAGAGTGGGTGAGATAAATGACAAAATCGCTTATTGCGACTCTCATGCAGCAACATTGGCTGGTATTATGTGTCAAACACAAACTCCACAATCTTTTCTTGTTGCTTACACAAACAAAATATTATTATAATATCTTATTATTCCATAATTTTATAAAACATTTTTTTAGCCAAAATGAATGGAAGGAACCCTGCCAGTTATTGTGCTGGTTTGTACTGTAATTAAGTTAGACAATGTTTAAGTAGGGATAAGTTTCGCTAAATCATTCTTTGATATCAGCATCTACTTTTGATATGACACCATGGCATAGCGACTTGGGTTCTAAAATGGTGTCCGATAACGGAAGCTTCATATTTGACGTATAACAACATATATTTTGAACTCAAATGTGCCAGCTTGGATTTCAAAAAGCCGTTCGGTTTTGATTTCTAAAATTGTTAAAAGTCCTCAATGGTAATATGTAGATATGCAAAAAACATTGAATAAATGTAAAATACAGTTAACTCTCCACAACTCGATATTGATGGGACCATCGAGTTATAGAATTGACGACTTATAGAATTCAAAATTCAAAATTTGTTGTTCTTGCTTAATTTTAAGTAAAATACCTGCAATCTACTATAATATCTGTACGAATTCGAAAAAGTTTATGAATCGATTTACGGAAGTTCTGAGAATAAACCAATATGAATAAACAAACGCACATAGGACTGTCAATTTTTGAAATTTAATTTGTCGTATGAAAGGTTCTGGTCCATGATAGGTTTTGGCTATTTTCCCCAATTTTTCCCAAAAAATGCTGGATGAGCATGCCTTATGTGAAGATTTGATGTACCGCCCAGGGGATGTTGGTGCAAGACTTCTTCAGATCACTTCTCTGGCACTATGTGGCACTATCGACAGATTTGAAGACATTTTAAATCCCGTTAAGGGCTTTATATATTTTTTATATATTTTATATATTTTATATCTGCATATATTTTGAAGACATTTCATATTTTGTGAAGACTTTTGAAGGCATATGCAGACACTTGGAGATCGAAGTAGAGTTTGAATTCATATTTTAAGCAGCTTCTAAAAATGGTTATTATGAGCAAGCGTGTGTAACCAGGTTTCAAAATAGAGGAGGCAAAATCTCGAATGAAGTGATTATTTTTCAAATGACGAGAAAACTGCTACGAAAAATAATTTCATAGTCTCGGAGTCTTGAATAAAAATTCTTCAAGTCTGCAATTTAAAATCTGTATGAATTTTGCAATATCAAAAATTATTTTAAATCTCAAGTCTCAAAAATTCCCAGTGCCCTAGAGTTTTAAAAAATTGCTTAAATTCAGGATCTTCAATCTTTAAAAAAAATCAATATCTCTAAAATGCTAAGAAGCCTTAGATTTATTTTAAATTAGCAATGACTTTTTAGTCCAGCATTTTGAATATTTTAATTAATCTCCCATGTTCGGGTTAGGATTTAATTTTTTTTTAAATATTAAATCTTATCTGAAGTCTCAGAATCTTAATTTTTCTTAAGTCAGGTTTACCCCGTAACGTGGGTAGATTACCTTTTTGTGATACGTTACGGGATGTAAGATCTATCGCCGATTCTTAGTCCTGACTACTTCAAACTAGGGGAACAGGATTTTTCAGTAATCAAAGGAACACATCTTAGTCCACCGAGGATGATCTTGAAACAAGTAAAAAATGAGTTAGTTAGTCTTCATCTATGTGATTCCTTATCTTCTATTCGTTGCTCCCTAGTTTGAAGTGGTTAAGACTAAGGTTTTGATGCACGCTGTCATTCCTTAATTTTGTTGCTAAGGAATCCAATTTTGATTGACAAAGGGGCGCGGCTTTAGAGGGTGTTTCAACACTCCGAAGGGTATAAATAGCAGGACCTTTCAATTAGAGTAGGATCCTTGCGATAAATGAAAGAATGACAACTGTAAAAAAAATCTAATACTTCATCATTTCTCAATAGTGATGAAGTAATACGACATGCACTAAACTAAGGACAAGAGATATACTACAATAGATCAAATTACTGGTCGCAGTAGTGTTAGGTCCCGAACAGAGAAAAAAAGACAGGTTTATCTTAAAACCTTTCACAGGATTTGTTTGGGATTTGTTTAAGAATTTATTTAAAATACAGTCAACTCTCCATAACTCGATATTTAAGGGACTATCGAGTTATAGAATTATCGACGTATAGAATAAATAATTTGTTTTTTTTCTGTCTATAATTTCAAAAATAATACCGAAATACTCCATTTACTGAAATAATTGACCTTATTTACTCACATGAATTCCAAAAACGATTCAAGGCTCTATTTATGGAAGTTCTGAGTAGTTAATTTATAATATTAAACCACACAAAATACGCAGTAGGGTTGCCAGTTCTTGAAAATTTAATTTGTCGAGATATCAAAGGTTCTGGTAATTTCTGGATGTGGCACTATCGGAGTACCCGGCCATTACTATAGACTGAATGGTCATTAGCCCAAACTTAAATAAATTTTGACGAGCTTCCTTACACAGTCTTAATTTTAAGATTTTAAACAGATATTTGTTCTGATTATTTGCACCATCTTGAACATTTCTCTATGTCTGGAATATTTCAAAATAAAACTACTTTAGTTTTGAAGATTTTCCTTAATCCAGGATCATAAAATTGTCATAACATTAAATCTCAAAATTTATTAATCTATTAAATTTTTCCTAATCCTGGATCTTGTCTTTATTTTTGTCCAACATCTCGAAATAAATTATATATTGGAATCTTCCCTTACCTTTACATGAATTCTTCAATATTTTCTGAACAATTTGCTTGAATCATCTCAGAATACCCTCAGAACTCATTTGAAAATAATCTGCAGAACACTCCTTGAATTCAAACTGAAATGCTCTTCAAATTATTAATAATTTATGCAGTATTACCTAGGAGTTCCCCGGAGATTTCTCCGGGGAACTTGTAGGTAATTTATAGGCGTTCACTTTGTATTCTCCAGGAATTCCTATGGAATTTTTCTATTAATTCTTTTTTAGTTTTGGGCAGAACTCCCATAAATTATTCGAAATACTCCTCACAATTCTCTTGGTACTCTCCTTTGGATTCTCTAAAAATTATCACTGGAACATGATTGCAATTCCCTTGAAATTTCGTTGGAATCATCCTCAGAATTCAATTCCCATGTAATTTTCTTCGGAATTACCTTGAAATGCTCCTCAGTTAGAAATGCTTTGGAATTATTCTCAGAATTTGCAATGAATGCATTGCATAATGCCCTTTGTATTTGACTCCTTCCCATGGAATTCGGTTGTAGTGAAGTAGCAAATTCCATAGATTTCTAATTAAAAATAATTTAGCATTCAAGTCAGAAGCCTCCTGCAATTCTTTTCCGAGTTCCTTCGAAGTTTTCCAGGAATTATGTTCAGATTTATATGGCATCCTCCGTTTAGCATACTCCCGAACTATTGTAATTGTAATTGTTCAGTGTATAGGCTGTGCTAACCGCTAAGTTGGCTTATCTAGGGACTAACCCCCTAGTCTATACACCTACTGTCCTTCCCGTTACACTCGTCAGCTCGTGCGATACTCTAGACACACATGGGTGGTCGTATCCGGGTCTTCCCCTGGGTAGGCTCGTGTCCGTCCAGGTTCTGGTACATTAACTTATATCTATGCATGGTAATTATACTTTACAACTCACAACTTACAAGGTTAGTGATCATTATTAGGTGTGTGCTGCAATGGAGTAGTAATTGAAGGAAATGAGGTTCTCATGTGGCTTATAGGTAAATCTAAAATAGGTAAATCATGCAAGCACACACCTTTTACAATTCTTATCCTACTTACCAGTTCCGTCCAGTATAAATTAGCTGTCTCCAACCGGCGTGATCCTTTCTTACTGCTTACTCTCTTCTTTTCTTGTTCACGCTTTCTCGCTTTTTTTTCCTTTCTATTGAGCATCTGGATGTGTTCCCATTTGTTCTCAGGCAGGTAATATTGGTACATGAGAGGAAGAAAGAAATAGAACAAGTGTGAGCCAAATGCGTTGGTTAGTCGTTTGGGGTTATGGTGTTGTGTTCCCTATTTTATTTGCCTCTATTCCGCTCTCAGATCGCCCCCTCCCTCCAAACTATTGTGGATGAGAAAAAGAACCCATATTTGGTAACCTCTCGCGAGCTGCAATGCATAAGATATGAATAACAAAATAATCTAGAACGGGGCTTAAACATATAACATTTTCTAAGACTGATCACAATTAATATAGTATGAATAATGAGAATTGTATGAAGAAAAGACGATCCCAAAAGAAAGTTCCCTAGCAATAAAACTATTACTCTTTGCTAATATGAGTTATTTCAAAATCGGAATCCATACTCAGAAACTATACCCGACCTCAACAAACTGTACCGAAATCAGAACAGCTAAACTATTTGGTAATATTTTGGCATTTCTATTTAATTGTATAAAGCTACTTTATATCGAGCTCTTTTCAATAATTGCAACATGTGAATAATGCAGAACAAGTTTAAAATTGTTCTAGAGCCAAATTGGTTTTGAAGGAAGGTCAAACTACAACCTAACAGCTCAGCTGCTCTGAACCCTATGAAAATTATGCTTTCTAATATGGTACATTCTCTCACTATAAACCTGTCATTTCTAGCCTGTCTGAACTATTTAATAAATGTAAACCATAACATGGGTTACGC